AAAACTTGATTTAAAACAATTGTTTCAAAACATTTCTTTTTGAACAAATCCCTAAAGCAAACGAGACATTAACAACATCGAAATCTAATTTCATGTCACCCGCTGATTAGTTGAAGTATCGCGTAGTCGCACTTGACAGCGTTTGACTTTAGGATTTAAATTTTGGGAGCTGGCACTTCCGCCTGACTCCTCGCGATTTCATCTAACTTCAAGTTAAGTTGTTTTAGTTTCTTATTCCGTCGTTTTGTATGTCTGATTTTATCACCATTCAAGTCCTTTTGACCGTACATCATAATATATAGACAAAACAAGGAGTTTTATCAAAGACCTCGTAGAGCAGGGGTCCGCAACTACGGGGTCGCGACCCAAATTTGGGTCGTGTACCCCTCCGCTCTGGGTCGCAAAACAATCTAAATTTTCCATTAATATGAGCATCGCGTCTGTGTAGCGTATTTATGTATAACAACTTTATAAATCTCTGATTAAAAATATGGATGTTTCCCCCGAGTATACACGTTCTTATTTACTGCCATAACATTGGCCAATTAGCATAAGTGTAAAATTTGAAGTAACAATAAACGTTTCAGAAGCGCTCAGATACGTTTGCTATCCAGAAGTTCTTTTGTGGTTGTGAATATTACCTCGTTTGGCGGTTTTCGCGTGTTGTTTGTTAGTTTTTAGTTGTGTTTGGTGAATATAAGTCCTAATCAAATAACTCAATAATCATTTTGCTTTGTCGGAGTTTTATTTTAAATGCAGTAATCAAAAATTAATCTAGAAATATCTGTGATAGACTAGGCCAAACTTTTCTACCGGCACATTTAAATGAAAGGTTGTTGAATGTATTGAATTAAAATGATAGTTTGAAACATATAAACCAGTTTATAGGCGCGAACTCGCAAAACCATTATTGAAATAAGAACCAATAATTTTGCAATGGTAGAGTATAAAGCGGAAGAATTTTGCCGGGATAGAAAGTCGGGGAAACATTCATTACGTAGTTGTTACTTATCGATTTTAATCGGTAAGTATGTTGATAGGTATTTGTCTGTCTGTATGTCTGTTTGTCTGTTAGATGCACGCGATATCTCACGAAAGGAGATTGAATCTGCTCCAGATATTGCATGTGCATTCATCTTATCTCGGACCAGAAGCCTATTAATTTTGGGCGAATTATGTCGTATAATTAGCGAGTTAATAATTAGCTAGGGATGGGACACAATGTGTCACTATGGAGTAAGAGCGCTGTTTTGGGGGATCCCCTAACTTTCGATCGATAAATCTTCGGTCTCTGACCGATATTCTCGTTTGCATTGGTATTATCCTACTACGTAGGTAAACAATTGTGTTGTTTGGTAGTAATGCGAGGTTAGCAGTAGCCGTGTGAAATTGCTTGATAAAGACAAATGATGAGATTTGTCCATTCTAAATTAAATAGTTAGGGTGCTGTTACTTTTATTATTGTAAGACATTCTTGGTTAAATTCAAAATTTAGCGGGTTTAAGAATTTTAAAGCTAGTTTTAGTCACAAATAATGTTGACAAACTGGTTACTGAAGAATACTCCAAAAAGCCGCGAGCGGAAGATACAACGGAGAAGTTAAGTGAGAACAGAACACCGCATGCACCTTCAAACATCTTTGCGTCTTCAAGCAGTGGGGATCAACGCCCGACAAAAGACTCATCTTCTCACTCTCGTCGGATAGAAATACAGCACTCAAACCATCCTCATAAGCGGAAGTACAGCGAAGAATTTATAAAGCTTGGTTTCACGTGTATTCATATAAATGATGAGTCACGTCCTCAATGTGTTGTTTGTTCCGTCGTTCTTGCCAACGAGAGCCTGAAAGCAGTGAGATTGAAACGCCATCTTACAACAAAGCATCCAGAATTCATTGACAAACCGATACATTTTTCCGCTGATCAGAAAAAGAATTGTTAGGTGAAAAGAAAACAATGACAAAGTATCTCACAATCTTAGAAAATGCAAAAAAAAAAACACACAACATTGGAGAAACACAAATCATTGCAATTAGTCAAATTATGAAAGAAGACAAGGTAATTAAGAAAATGAAAGAAATACCAATGTCTGTAGATACCATTCGCCGACGTATCAGCGAAATGGGTCAAGATATTAGGTGCCAACTGATTGATAGAATCAAAGGAGGAAAATGCGCTTTGCAATTGGATGAATCCACGGATACGTCTGGTTTAGCGCAGTTGATTGTGTTTATTAGGTATATAGTCAATGGGAAGCTTGAAGAGGAGTTACTCGTGTGTAGGGATTTGTTCGAAAAGAATTGTTTTAAAACAATTGTTTTTTTTTGCCTGTTTTGTTCAACATGGCTATACTGTTTGATTTTTTGTATTAAATAGGTTGAAGAAAAATTGGTGTAAAAACTTGCCAAGCACTTCTTATTTGCAATAAACTTTTCAAAACGCCACAAATATCGATGGAGGCTCATGCACACCTTCTCAAGCTGTAGTTCAGTGGTTGGCGCAGTAAGACGCAACCGATATGCCATTACGTGAACGACCATGCTGCGATGAAACCACCTTGCGAAAATTAAAATGCGACCTAATTAATGAGTTTGTATAATCTTGAAAAACTCACCTCCATCTTAAAAACAAAGTATGCTAAGCATAAATTAACCGAACAGTATTAACCGTATTGCCTTCATTTTATGAGAAAAATGTCAATACATGACCTCGAAATCCATATTATGGCGTCATAACAGATTAGTTGTGGCGTCTTTGCATCAGAGAACTCTTACAATTAACATTGGCTAGGTTAGGGTGTCTCATCAATCATATCAGTAGATTACCGCCGATATAAGCATGTTCTTCATTATCGCAACCCACTCGCTTTGCCAAAGGGCTGCACTTGATCGAATTGTTTTTGTAGTAGGATCGTGAGCTAATTTTCATGACTTTTCTTACTCAAAACGTCTCTCTGATATCTCGGCTAAACATTCCAGGTAAAATCTTATGACTTTGGTGGAGATATAAAGTGGCGATAAATGTACGCAATAGTGGTAAAAGTCAAAATAAAACATTTTACTTACATTTGTGAAATTATATTTCCGGCTGCGTGTGCAGCTGTCAGAATGCAACGTTTTGGCGTAGTTTCGCGGCGATGCAAGGGGTATTTCAATAAAAAATACAAAAAATACAGAAAAAATTTGATTTAGTACAAGCCCTTGTTTTAAAAACACGATTTTTTTTTAGAATTGATAAAAAACAAGATCCTACTCATGTGCGTGGCGCTTTCTGGAACATGCACTGGTCAAGACATATTCTCAGCAGTGACGACGAGACTACAGAATGATGGATTATCATGGGAGCGGTGCATTAGCATTTGTACTGATGGGGCTGAGGCCATGGCGGAAAACAAAGGTTTTTTAGCAAGAGTATTACAAACTGCGCCTCATATCTATTTTACGCATTGCATAAATATAGGGAAAATCTGGCTAGCAAAACATTGGACCAACAATTAGAATTGAAGATCGCATTTGATGGCAAAAGAAGTTTGGCTGAATTTTGGATTTCAGTTGCAAAAGAATATCCGGAGTTATCAGCTGCTGCAATGAATGTTCTGTTGCCATTCGGAACTACCTACTTATGTGAAAAGAAATTTCCTGCGTTTTCATACATAAAAAACAAATACAGATCATCGCTAAAAGTAGAAGAAGATCTTCGAGTTCTGTCTCGCAAATTAAACCTCGAACTGATAAGTTGTGTTAAAAACACAAAGCGTATAACTCGCATTAGTCATAATAAACGCTGTTATTCAAGAATTTATGTGATAAGTTTCATATAATTTTGTGCAAGAAAATTGTTAGTGTCAATAATAGTCTTAAAATCATAACTAATCACATGCTTACCAAATGCTTGGGTCGCGAGAAATTAGAAAAAAAAATTTGGGATCGCGCTAAAAAGTAGTTGCGGACCCCTGTCGTAGAGGACTTTAAGAAAGCTCAGCCACGGCACGCACCGTAGTCCCAAGGAAGAACTATATCATCTTTTAAAAGCTACAGCCAATTTTTTTCAATGTTCTGGTTTTAATTACTTTTTCTGCTTGGATTTCAATCACTTTTAAGTCACTATTATCGAGCCACATTCTAATTTCGGCTTTCAGTTAGACGTTGATTTAGGTCTATAACATTGTTGTCCACTCCCTTGAAAAACTATCATTTCAAAATTAGAAAGATGAATGCATTCGAACTTTGATAATTCGACATTCTCGAAATAAATTATGTGCGAGGAAACAAAGAACTGCAAAGTAGCATTTAGTTGATTGGAAACCTTTAAAACCTTCTTGATGGACCCCCTGTTCGTGGACTTTCGAAATATAAACGCTGGCAAACGAATTGTCTCACATTTTAAAGCAATTTCCTGCGGACATTTTATAAAGAATAGACCTGATTGTCTGTTCACACAAAATAATACAGACTGCAATGTTGAAATACATTGCAAATCAACAGAGAGCATTAGCCTCGCTGAAAATAAGGTATTACATGCTTGTGGCGCTTCGTTTAACTAAGATAATGATTTTTATTTGATAAAAAAACATGAATTGTAAGAAATTTTCATTGTTGAAGATTTGCCGAAATGTTTTCTGAAGTCCGGTCCTCGGAAGATGCCAGTTTGAAATAAGTCCATATGTGGAAAGCCAAATTCTGTGCTAAAGTGGTGAAGTTCAAGAACTATGTATTGTATCATAAACGTTGTACGGCATTAATCTGAGTAGTCGCATAGAATTCAAGGGCTACATTTCTATTTCAAGCTAGAGTGAACAATTCCAACTTTTCGACAATTTCTTTTATACCACTGGACGTTTTTTCAATAATATTGACTTGGCGGGTGACCGAAAAAACATGGCAGGCCACTTTGTGATTCGGGGACCAATGATCCGCGTCCTTGCCTTACTGATTTTCCCGTTGTACAAAATCCTTCTGGCTTAGGATCAGTATATATGTTTATTCGCCCAATAAAGTTAAGATATATATATGGATACATTGACAAATATATATGTTGGAAACAGATGTATGCACAATGCTATATTGGCCGAAAACGTAAATGTGCGGCTTCCACACATTGTGATACCCAAAAAAATAAAATACCTAATTCACTGTCTCTCGTGATGACAGTTAGACCATATGGCGAAGTGTTGCCAATAGTGGGTAACAATGGTGAAGTCTAGATATTTATTTTCTGTGTAGTATTTTCTGTATACATGCATACAAGTGCATTCAATTGACAGTTTTTATAGTTGAAACAAGAAGTTTCAAATTTACACGAGAATAACAGCTGCAGGATCAATGAAATCATTATCCATACGCAGGCATACATTTTTCAAGGTCATTACTGAAGATTCAAGTCCGTTTTCATTAAGAACTTCTGAGATTAATCGAAGTTGATTAGAAGTAATCTGAGGAGTTCTTGCTTTCACATAACCATTCCAACCTGCGAAATAAATCCATATTGAGATTCAGTATTACGGGACTGAAACAAACGTCAAGCTTAAAAATCATACTCAAAATTTGGGAAACCGTTTGTTTGGAGTAATAAGACAAAATACTATTTACCTGCGTGGGATTTGAATATCACGATGAAGAAATTATCATAGTCGGTTAAAAAGAGAGTATCGTATGAAGAGAAATCCACGGATTCTGCATATAAATAATTAATGACATGTTAGCAAAGAAGACCGATCATAAATTTAACATGTCTATGAAGATTTCTTTTGCATGATTGTAAATCCATCTGCATTAGTGAAAGCATTCGAGTTATATATAAACTTTTCTATAATATTATTTGAGTGTCATTATTTGCCGTGCTGTATGTGGCACTTCATCTAATCATGCGACCCGAAACGAAAAGCCAATACATCGTTGAAAAAAAAACAATGATATAGAGAGTACGCAAACCTTGGCGAATCGTGCTTTTCTTTTTCTCAGGACCTACGAAACTATTCCACATTTCGGCTAGACTATTCTCTGCAAATTATAAGAAAACATTTTTATTTTTGTGTTAAAATAAATACAGTAAGAGAGACTGAATTCGTCTTCATGCAATAGCTCTACAGGATCCAAGCACAATAATTGAAGCAATTTGCTCATATTTACATATATTTTTAAATCAACCAATCGATTAATCAAACTTTTATTCATGAACACAATTTATATGAGATAATAACAGGTGTGAGAATTAAACAGACATCGTTTCCTGCACGAACATCGAGTACAACGTACCAAAAAAAGCGAATGCAGATTTTTTGTTATGAAAAATAGATCCGCATCCGCGAAGACTTTTCGAATTTTCACCCAGAAAGGGTACATAAAATTATATATCGTCAAATAAATGTCTTAAACACGGCGTATACTAAGTCAAAATCAAAGCTTTCACTGCGAGATGGACGGTTTACTTACGTTTAAAGTGGTAAATTCCTCTCTTCCGACCTCGAATTATCTTCATCTGATGGATTGTACTTTCAATGCTGCAGATTAAAAAATGATATTCTATATGCTTTTCTACTTTCCACAATTATACGAATTTTAAAGATGTTATACTTGGAACGGACCACTGATCCGACCAAGCGATCACTGGACTTCCTCAATATTTATGACTTAATATTGAGTTAGTGATTGTTATCGCAAATTCAATTGAAAATCCTACAAAAATCCAGTGATATTATCGAGCCGCAGAATAACTTCAATTTGCTTTTTAGAGATTTCGTAAGAATCGTTGCGTGATAATGAAGTAAATTATTTAATATTATATATCCTTGAACTTCTATGTGTGTATGATTGATTGATTGCACCAGAAATCTAGAACGTCACCATCAAGTGAGCGATTAACAATTTCGCGCAACAGATACAAGTCTTTTTTTAATGCCAAGAAGGTCAATTGGTCATATTCCGAAGAGAATAAAACTTCTGTAAAAAACGTCCTAGATTTCTTAAACTTTTGGGGTATTATCATACACAAACATAACTTGAAGCGCGAACAAAATTAAATATTTTTTTACATTTTCATGAAAATAATTAGAAAATATATGGGTTCCCTTTCATTGGACCCTATATTCGGTGTTTATTCTTTACTTGCCTTCCGTTACTGAAGCTCTCTGCGGTTATAACGACAATGTCCCCTTCATCCGTGAAATTATTAAACTTCCAACATCCAACAGGTTCCTGGGGGCGTGGAATGTCAATAACATCATACCATGGAGCTTTCGATTGAACCTGTGACAAAAAGTTATGTAAAAATTGTATAAATACGAATACTACGACAGTTTGATTGGTAGAGTATACAACTCATAAAAATAGTTCATAATCTATTGCATATAATAATATGCTGTATTTCAATAAAAAATTGTTAGAATTATTCTTGGCCACAAGCAAGTACATGTCCCAAATGTTTAATATTGTAAAAAAAAAGGTCATTCGTTTTTATTAAATAGGAATTTCATAAAACACTAAATTTTGGAAAAATAAAAGTATGTACAACAAATTAGAAATTATAACATATATAAAAGGAAAAAAATCAACATTGTCATTAAAAATGCTGTAAAACAATGAGCAGAATTTAGCAATAGTTTAATCTGAACTTTATTAAAAAATAAAATTTTGTAATGTTTTGATTAATACATAAAATAGTAGTTTCCAACTAAATTTCTGGTTTCACCTTTTCCCAGTCGATATCAGGAATTCCAGGAGAAATAGAACTTGATGTGCAACTTGCGTTTGTCAAGGCGACTAACAAAAGCAGACTCACGAGTGATAGTTGGTTAAATTTACTTGTGCTGAACATGCTGACAAATATGCAACCAAGGATTTTTTCTGCTAACATCACCAAGATGACTCAAGATCGACGAATTTAGTGAGCTTTAAGCAGTATATGTTATGCGCTAACAAAAATTATATTGTGTTAGATAATATTTCATTTGCTATTAAATAATTAAAAATATGGAACATGAATTCGACGCTGACTTAACTGTATCAAAAAACTTTAAAAGGAGATATGCCTTTAAATTAGGCGGGTTAATTTCGTAGGAATCATGACTTCGCTTGATATACCTGCGCTAGTGATGAACTATTCATGTATATATACTACTAATCATTGGTATTGATTTTACTATCTGCAAACTCTCTTCTTCAATTGTCGTGGTTACCTGTCTTGGAGGTCTAAAACTATCTCAGAATATCTGGTGCTCCAACTGAACATGGCATAAACATGAGAGTCGATATTTTCTTCAAAATATCATTAAGTTAAGTTTTAAGTAGCGACATCGTGCTAGTCTGGCATCGTTTTAAAAAGCAAGTGCAAATCTTTCGACATCAACCTAGGTTTTGATATGGCTTTGTACTTTAAGCCAGACGCACGATTTTTTGAATAGCCGAATATTGCACAGCAAAATTGTTTATGCTTTCAAGAATCAATTTTACATTTCCTGAGCTTTTGAATCCAAGAAGATAATTTTGTCGTTCTATGCCAGCCAGATACCTATACTTTTAATCCCCTTTGGCCAATGCAAAAATTTAATAAGAATTCACGGGTCTTCCTGTATAAAAGTTATAGAAAGTACTGACAAAAATAAATAAATACATATAAGCGATGCAGGACAAGGTTTAACGACATGACATTGTTTTTTTTTCAAATCAATGTAATTACATGGTTTTTTATACAGCAATTCTAAATAAATTGTATAATTGAATTTAAGATTGCCAATTTGTAACATGCTTGTATGTGGCCGATATTATCTACAATTCTACACCAAAAATGAGAGACATTTGGTCACAAGCAGGCAGTAAAATTTTAAGATGTTATCTACAGATTTGGATTCAAATTAGTGCGAAGTATTTGTTCACAAAATTATTTATAGTATTAATCATTAGTTTTAAAGTCGAACACTTTTTATTTATCTTTTCAATATTATACTACTTCACTCAAAGAACTGGACAAATACGTAAGAAATATGCTCGAAAACTTGAAAACAGGCTATGGATGACGAAACAGCACATACTTGACATTGACAACATACCTCTTGCAGGGCATATTCTTTATTGTAGAAATAAACTATATATTTGAGCGACGGATATCTATCTATAAGCATGTGTGGGCCAACCCTTTCTCAATGTTGATTGTCGATACAAAAGGGTTCGTATATTCGGCTTAAAAATATATGAATTGTCAACTAAATTTGGAAACTTTGAGGTCCCTCACTCGGTGCTGAAATACCCAATTACTTTCAGTGAAATGTTTAAAAATTTAAATCCTACGCTTTATTATATCCTATTGACTGATGTAAAATATTTTTATATTAGTGTTTTTCTTCCATCCATTGTAAAGTTTATCGAAGGAACACGTCCTTATTAATATAGTTCTTATAAAGTATTTCATATCGATATAACATTAATGTCTTTATATGACTTGAAGAATATGGATTCTCTCCCGTAAATCATTACGCAGTAAGTGTTTGAAGTAAAGACTTGAAATAGAAAACATGATTTGTTCTATACTTCGACATTTAATTGCTTCTTTTATAGAACATCTACAAATACCTGGAGTGGCGGTGTAGTTGCAGAGAATTGTTTTATGTAATAATTTGCACAATGGAATTATGCACCTGGCATCACAAAAAGGTGGAGGGGCTTTTGAAGATCAATTTTGTATTTTTCAAGCTTTTAAATGTAAGCAAATATCTTATAAAATAAATATTATTATAAAATTATAATAATAATGCAATAATATAAAAATGAAGGGGCGTCCAAATATTTAAGTGGCAAATAGATTTGAATAAGGAAAACACGTGTGATAAATTAGTTTACTAAATTGTGATGGAGTCTCCCACTTAGAATATGATGCTATAAAAAATACTAGTTTCTACGTTATATCCATCCCGGCGGAGACTAATTTTTCATCTTAAAAAATGAGAATTTGGCTCTAGCAGCCTTCACTGCTTTGACACGCGGTTACTATGATATATTTTTATTTGAACATTGTAACGGCAACCTAGGCTAAATTTCCTATGCTCCCAAAGATCAATACCAAGCTTTAAAATGCAGGCAGATACTTAACTAAAATTTTTATGTCAGTTCGGTGTGGAAATATTTAAATTCAAACAGTTTTCCTTTGTTTTGTTTTTTTATTGATATGTATAGGTTCACTCAATCCATACATATCTGGAGAAAATAGTGAGATGATGAGTTTCAACCGATCAGTGACGCCTATTGATTGGTCTTATTCTTATACTAATCGGCATTCTGTGAAATGCAATTAAGCCGGTTATGGAAAGACAAGAGAGAACCAGCCTCTCAGCGGCAGGAACACCCCGCGGCATTTGTGTAAAGTGTGCGCACGAAAAATCTAAGGTTCGAAGGTCGTGGTTTCAATTTCGATTTTATTATTGACTAATTGCCTTTAAATCATTTTTAAGGTATTCTTTACGCATTAATCATGGACGAGGGCTAATTGTTAGTTCAAAAAATAAATTTCGTGTTGCAGATCTCACTGCATTGGCAAGATGTTACTCTGCAAGCAAACTCTCAAATTGAACAGAAAGAGATGTAGTCATGTTGCGCTTCATGATATTATGTAGAACAAATCATGCTGGCCTGACATCTCCGTTCGAAACAGCAGTATTTCTTTCAACACTGCTGGACTCTGATTTATTATTTTACTGCTTAAGGCAAATGGATGTTTTTTACTGTAGCCAAATATCGCAATGGCAACCGATCTTGTAAAATGATTCTGAATAGCAATTTTACATTCCTTAAACGCTATAATCAAAGCTCCTATCCTATACCTTCAATATTCTTGGAATTTGTATTTACTTTTAGGACTCGCATGCCACAGAATGAACTTGTTCTTGTTTTTGAAATTTGCCCCTATTTTAAGCTTCGTCCTTTTTTGGATTAGTTTTAAATGATTAGTTTAATCAATTGCAAACACTTTCTTTCTAATTACTTAGATTTCTTTTTAACTTCACCGTCATTATCACTTCTGTAATAAAAGCAATCTGTACTAAAATTAAACGGAATCTGAAACCCGAGTTGCAATGAAATAGATTTCAATTGCTTTAAATTTAGTGTCTTGTTGATGGCAGTGGCCAATGTGGTTGAAAGTACTTTGGGAAACACATTTTTACCGTCGTCCTTACTTTCAATTAATAAAGAACAAACAAAAGAGAATCGGCCCATATGTGGATCTCAGGCATATCAATTGGTTCTATAAATAAATTATACATATATGCGATAGCAAACACTTGAGGCCGATTTTCATTAAGGATTTCCGTGTAAAAATGTGTTTGTTATTGGATTTAAAAATTCAAACTTTTTATTGTCTTTCATTTATCGCTGTAATCACAAATGGCACTGGTAGAAAGTAATAGTATTCAAATCAAACGTTATTTTTAAACCATACATATTAGCTGATGTAAAGTAATTTCACTAAATACATAGCATATATTTTACTTTACCACGCTTGTACTACCACTCTTGTTTACTATATAGTACAAAATTTTCCAGACAACACATATTTTAGATCTGTTACAGTTCCATATATAAAGTGCATTTAAAGTATTTCCACTGAAAAAAATGACTTAAAATGACTGCCTTCAAGCAACATCGTGAAAAAGAAATACATAATAATTGCAAAAATACTGTAGGTGAATTGGCTGATCAGATTATAAAGAACTCTCTCATCAAAATCATTACGTAAGAATTAAGGGCAGGAAATATTGAAGCGTATGATTCTGTTTCTTTTGACTCTATTGCTTCCTTTATTACACAAGTATACGTGGATTCTAGAAAAGTTCAAGGTAGCCACTTAGGTTGCCGAGATTTCTAGAACAGCATCTTATATGTATATATTAAGTTTACGCGGATTTAGTGTAGAATTCAGGCGCTCAAACTTCTCAATTCTGTTGTTATTAGTAATTTTTTCTTGCTTCTAAGAATTGATAATGGACATTATGTAAAACCTTGATTGTGATGAAAAAGTGATATCTAAAATGATATGTGCGAATGGAATTGTAATCGCAATACAATTCTAAAAATGTCAATGAATAAATAACAAATAATGTCAAACGGCGATCAAAGGAATGACAACTCAAGCAAGTTTGTTAGGTCTGTCAAAAAAAGTACTAGTCCAATAAGAAGTTCACTCCAAATCTGAAAAACGTAGGATGTGCGTTTTGAAAAACAATTGAATTTTTATCAAACGACTATAATAAAATTTGCTAAAATATTTTTATTGTTTAGTTTGTTTGAGCATTGAATGTTTTCTTTAACCGAAACGAGATGAATTGGGTAAAACTCATCCTAGTCGTTTTAGTACTTACTATATCTTGTAAAAATTCGTCTGCCCAGTCTGAAGAAGATTCTCTAAGATTGGCATGGGCAGTGAGGCGCCTTGTAAGGCCAACTGACTGCAATTCCTCTTCAACGGATCTAGGGCCACCACGTAACTATTATCCAGCGAGACCCGGTAAAATTGGACCCGTTGGTCCACCTGGCTGCCCTGGTGAGGCTGGGCCGAAAGGCGAAGCAGGATCATGCGTATGTAATCGAACCGAAACAAATGATCTAAAGCAGATGATACAGAATCTTGAAGGTAATTATTTGTTTTATATTATTTGAACTAAATATAGTTTTTAAATAAGTCAATAAATAGTTAAATGTATTGGATATCGAATCGCTGTGATCGTATTTTGGTTGTCATATTATAATCTCATGTCCCATGTATAGTTGTATTGTATTTTTTATATAAAAATGGTATATGAGAATACCTGCCAAACAAAAATTCGATTTTAGTTTCAGCATTTACTTAAAATTCAAATGAATTTGCTTGCCTGACCCAAAGTGGAAAGAGGCAGTTTCCAGCCTTGAAAACATTATCAAACCTTCTTATCACGAATGAAAATTCAAATATATTAATACGGTGACTCTAAGATAACAGAATATTCACCACGACCCTAACCGCACGGATGTTGCCCAACTTCTACATATTTTGTTATTTCAATTATCCCGTGCTTATATATGTAATCATATTAAGTTTCACTCATGTTTTTCAGATAAAATAAGTACTATGGAGTATCAGATGCCGGGTGCGTTAACAAATAATTTACTATAGAAAGTAGTAGATTAAACGTGAGATAAGCTATTAATTAATATTTTTAGAAGCATTTTGTCTGCTTGGAATGAAGAGTGGAATGATACCTGACAGTGCAATAACTGCGTCTTCTGTACATTCTGCATCCTATTGCAAGTTAGCAAATGCAAGACTAGACCATCACGGTGCTTGGTGCGCGGTTGCAAGTAAGTATTTTATTACAATCTTTCTTTAGTTTCAACTATTGCAAAAAGAGAATGTGCTTGTAAATTAATAATTACTTATTATATACATTAAGTACATACTATATATGTTAAAACCTGAATTTGCAAAATCATGAAGACTAAAATTGCTTATTTGTTGCTAATACCAACAACACGAGAAATGGCCTTCTTGAACATTAGAAAATTGATCGTAACTTTTACAATAGCTATGTGACGCAATTGGACGAAAGTCGTCTTTATCAAGCATTTGCTTGACGAACAACCATTCAGTATTATTAAAAATAAAAAAGATATATTTCTTCCCAATTAGGTTTAGTATGTTTGGATTTGACATTTTAATTAGTGTATCGATTTTTTGTGTTTTAAAGAATATATCAGTATAAACTAACCTCAAAACATGCTATGGGTGTATGTATACTACAGCTCGGGTTCCAAATAGCGACTGTCAATAGAGCGACCACACGACAACGATTAATTAGTTTAAAACAGCGACTGTCAATAGAGCGACTACACTACACGACAGCGATTCATTTAAAACAGCGACTGTCATAACAGCGACCTCATTTAAAACAGTGGCTGCCACAACAGCGACATCACTTCCCTTATTAAATTGAAGGCTTACGCGCACACGCACTCATTTAATTACGTCGCTCATTTAATTACGTCGCTATTATGAAGTCGCCATTATGACAGTCGCTGTTTTGACAGTCGCTATCCGGCCTGGATACCGTATACTACTTCCAATGATCCTGACCGGCTTAGTTGAGATATTGTATTAATTCACATTTGAAAATAAAAATAATTATTCTAACCGCAGATACAATTGGGAGTCAGTGGGTTGAAGTAGATCTCGGCAAGATTCAAAAAGTGACGGGAGTTGTTACGCAAGGTCAAGGAAATTATCCAAACACAAATGAATGGATTACAAGTTTCAAAATTGAGTATGCTACCAGAGAGGGATCAAGGACAGCGTTAACAGAAAATAATAATTACAAGGTAAATAAGTTTTTACAGTATTTCAAATTCAAAAATTAGAAAAATTAGTTGAAATCAAGCTTTCCTGACCACCCAATCACACATGTCATGTCAACGGAGCCATGCCAATTTTAATGACATATCGCAGCTTAAACACTAAACATGTTTACAAGTCCACTGAAACCAGTCGAGTAGACCAGAAAAAAAAAACTATTTCACGCTTTACTGGTTTGGGCGTTATTTCAATCCAAACCTTTTGGTCCGCTTCATTGGACCACCTATCGCGGAAGTTTTTTCGCCAAATGTAATATCGTTTCAGATACATCATAGCAAGTTCTATTTAAACCACCTCTTCTTCGCTTCCACATCAATCGTCTAACTGCTGAACACAAATTTGAAATAACGGCCGGTGCGGCGTAATTGTCAGATATGTGGTTCTGTTTTAAAATATAAAACTAAATCTGATTTGACAATGATTTAATTTTATAAAACTGGGTGCGGTACAAACTTTGTTGATGAACTGTATTTTGTATTACCAAAATTTTCATAAAAATTTGTAGTGAGAAAATTGGACTGTGGTTACATCAAATGTGGTTTAATCATAGCAGAAAATGACATTGAGCCAAAAGCACAATGTGTTGAACGTTAATGCTACGTTACGTGCGAGCTTGTCTCTCAACAAGCCTCGACTTGATTTGATAATATTCAATATACCAGCTTCGCATTAATAATAAATTGCATGGGGATACATTCTCTCTTTTATCCTATATCAACATATCAGTGTGCGTCACAACAACAAAAAAACTGGCAATAAAAGTGGATCGCGAAATGAAATAGGTTGAAAAGCACTGCTTTAAATGATAAACTGTCGCTGACAGTAACTTGTAGTACCGTCATTTCTTGAATGAATTGTGTTGTGTAAGGTGCCAGTAATCTTCATCATTGAACTTTCAGCCTAGTCATCGAAATGATTTGACTAAAGTTTTTTTCGAATATTTTTTATGTCATTCCTTCAATTTGACTTTCTGTTCTTAGATTACGATTACGTGCTCGTCAAAACCGATCCATCATAATGCAACCTCGATTACATGCCCACAACCAATAATATGATAAAAACAGTTTTAGATCTGCTTGAGTGGAGGAAATGAGTCATCACGATTTGCAAACGCACTACATATAATACCTTTAATAATTTCCGAAATTCAATAAAAAAAATTCCATATAAATTAAGTAAAGTATCAAAATCAGATGCGAGTTGTCTAGACTCTAGAGAATGTTATGTTGCTTTCATGTTGAATTTATTCTACAACTATTGCCCGACGAATGAATCAGTGACGTGACGTAAATTTAGTTTCGCGAAACATGCTGATAGTTCAACAGTGCAGAGTACTGGCACTTTACACCACACGATTCATTAGGTTTCTGTTAGCATGACAATATCGTAATCAAATACGTTTAAATTTTGTCAATCAAGCACTTATTGTGGAGTGAGATCATTGCCACATATCATCAGGATCAGGAACAATTCCAGCATTTAAATATCATAGTACTACTGCTAACCACAGAAGCGTGAAATAGTTTCTTTCAAGATCTTCTTGACTGGTTTTAGTGGACATATACTCAGGCTCAATTTCTGCAATCAGAAATCACCGATTTAAAATTGCATCTAATTTTAAATGTTTACTTAGTATTTGTATTGAATTTCGGAAATTATCAAGATATAAATATATGTAGGCTAGTACGTTTGCAAACAGTGATGACTCATTCATTCCAGCCAAGCAGCTTCAGAGATGTCCTCATCACCTTGGTTGTGGACATGTAATCGAAGGCGCTAAATGGTCTCTGAAACCACTTCGATTTTTCTGAACCTTCTCAATGGATCGGTTTTGGCGGACATAATCATACCTATTGTATACTCGGGATTTGAATTTCAATATTATATTTCAGGTTTTCTCTCCAGTCAATTTCAATAAAAATACAATAGTAGTGACGAGATTCCCAGAACCCATACAAGCGAGGTACATCAGAATCATTCCTGCTTCATACCATAGTCACATGTCGATGCGTTTCGACGTCATCAATTGTTAGTAGAGCTGGTCTAAATGAAATTGAATATTGCCTCAAAATTGAATTTAATCTGCAAATATTTCAGTTATTTACAATTTTACAACCCCAACAGCATAGGTTTTACCTTGTTGAATACTACTGATAAGTTGGTCCTCAACATTGCAAACTTAATACTTTTCATTGTCATCCTTGGCGACCCAAGGTCAAACCAAGATCACCAATGAAAGTTGAAGAAGTCCTTTTTATAAGATGTGTCACAATACCTGCCGTTGGAGCTGTCCTGCGTTAATTTCGTCTGGAATATATTTTTGCATAGTTCCAAATTCTTGTAATAAGCCTCACAATGATATTATTGACGTTTCAATCATCCACGTATGTATCTCAGTTTCGAGATTTTAGAGTTTTCAAGCAAATATTTTAATAGCGGTATTTCTTTTGGGTAGAATAGTTAATTTATTAGTCGACAGATTTATTGTAGATTTATTATTATTGATATTGAAGTCACGCGTTCGTAAGAAATGCATTTTTTTCAGCAGCGACCCCTAAACTATACAATACCTAAATACACTATCGATAGAAATATTCATAAAAGTCAGACCTTGGATCCTGTTCTTTTGTCTATTAATGTTACGAGATGTCTCTGTTTATTTTCCCTCTATATTAAATACCAAACAGGAAACAATATATATTTTGTATACTGCATTCTTATTTGACAAAAGTACAGTCTCGGATAGCATAAACGTATAATGAAAAATGTATAAATACAAATATACTACACAACAACAATTTTGTCTTTTGTAAAGAAAAATGGTTTGACTCAGAGCTGTTGGTATGACATACATCTTAATCTTATATCACTTAAAAGAAGGTCATGTACAACCCCTGTATAAGGACTATGTTTTATTTTTGAAAAATCCAGGATTTTATCAATTCCACAGACCCTGTTTAATTTATCGTATTCTGGTAGAAGTAGCGACCATTCCATATAAACCCAACACTTTCAAACTACCTCCCAGCTCAACATGCGCAAACGCTCTGTCACAAATAATTGCGTTCATGATTTTTTTGGGATTTCGTTTGTTATTTCGCGATCGTTTATAGGTACCGGTTTTACTACGGCCAGATTTTGGTCTAGCTTGTCTCTGATCATCTCCGTTCGTATAAGTTGATGATTCTCTTTTGTCGTTTGATTTACCATTAGATCTTTTGGAGGTCCTTTTCTCCTCTTCTACCCATCTTTTACTTCTTTTATTTACCCGTTTTCTTTCTTCAAATTTGCGAGAACTGGATGGAGCGTTTTCCCTCCGTCTTTGTTTTTCCCGATTTTCATTCCGTGTTTTGCTAGTTTTAATTCTTGATAACTCTGTGTCTTCTTCTTGTTTTATTCTTCGTTTATAATAATCTCGTTCTCTTGTGGGTTTCCTTCTTTTATCGTCATTTTTTTCATGCCTTCTTGTATGTATTTTCTCTTCTTTCAACTCGTCTTTTTTATTAATTTTTTCATTATGATTTATATCACGATATAAGGCATTATTATTCAACTTCTCATCATTTTTAACATTATGGGCAGTGAATTTAGTATCATACTTGTCTGTAATTTTTTTACCGCAATTTGAGTTTTTTGCAATAGTATCTTCAGCAATTTGGTTGGTAGTGATTTGATGTTTGGGCTCTATCATCTCGTAATTGTGAGAATGATATTTCTGTGGAACTTGATTTGTGTTCTGTTCTTCTTTAACCATTACCGATCTCGTGATGCCATGTATTTCTATGTCGTCAGCAATTTCCTTCTTCTTTTTATTTTTTCGCCTATTGAAATTAAAAAAGCTACAATGCGCTCGTTCATAGGCAAAAGGAAAAGCCCGAAATAAATTATCGCTCATTTAATCGTTTTGATCTGCCATATAAAATAGGTGCACCAACCCATATTGAATTTGATATTAAGTAAAAAATCATAGCTTTTTTTATCAAACTATCCAAAAATGATCTTGATAACAAACGCTTCAAAAAAAGATCGATCTTTAGCTGAAGACAGTCGAGAACTCCTACTAGAATGCAAGTGCATAGTGAAATGGTAAACAATACCTTCTTATTTTGTATGCTGCAAACATCAAAACTGCAACTACAAGTACAACCGCAACAATGATTGCAATATATTTGGCAGTATTCATACCACTGCTCCCTTCGGCTTCTTTTTCAGTCGTTTTTGGTACATTCCTATATCCTGGATAAAGCGTTCGAGTAGGAGGTCTTCGTGCTGAAAGACGAATATATAACGATTATTATGAATAGTATGATATTTTGCCGGATAATCCTGAAACTTACTTCGTAGATAAATACATTTGTTATCGGGTAGTGTTGAAGAATTTACTTCCTTGTTTTCACGTATTTTTATGTCTTTTAATTTGTGTTGAAAAACTAAACCCTAAGTTCTCAAGTTTAAAAACTCTCTTACTTTTTACTACGATTGGCCTTTTTATGATCCGTTTTGGTGGAATCCATCTTCCTGGAAATGTGGTGGGTCTATGAAATGACGTAACAAATGATTCACCTTAATATATTGTGATTTGCTTTAGGGAAGAAGAGCGTGAAAAGTTTATTGAAGGTTTTGTGAGATTGGGCTTACCTTCGTTTTAAACAAGTGTCAACTCAATAAATAATTCAATGTTCGGCGGCTTCTTTCTATCTCGATGCTATCATAATTGTTCTTTTTATTGATGAAAATGATTTCAAATGCTTGGCATTAAAGCATACTCAAAGCATATGTTGTAGAGTTTACTTTTTTAGGAGGTATTTAACTTCATTCTGATAAATTCTCTGAATAGGTAGCTATGTAAAATGCTCACGATTTTTAGGCCAGAATTAAAATAAGTTTTAATTTACTTGATAGTAGGCTGAAACTTTTGGGGAACCGTCTTCGCTGGAGTAACGAAATTTTCAACTTTTCATTCGTCATTTGCTTTATCATTTTTCAAATTTTTCAGTTGATTTCTGCGATTTATACTTTCATTGTCGTTATCGTCAATAGTGTCATCCGTTGGCATGAGAGATGGCGCTACAGTGGCGCTTGGAACAAAATATTTTCTCCAGAGACCAGCTTTATCCCGCACTGATATAAAAAAATATTTCAAGTTTATATTTATTTAGATCTTTCCTCACTTTAAAATGTCATCAACTGAACTGTAGATACATTTAATGCTTTTAACAATACCAATTACAGTATTTTACAGTATTTCTATATACGTAAAACATATCATACACATAAACAATAGCTTATATATACTCAAGAGCCAATGTAAAAACACAGACATCTAGGTGGAGATACTTTATAATTTAAACTAAAAAATCGTAATTACTTACATACTTCAGATGTAGGTTCAGTAGTTTGAGTGTATGTAAACTTAAAACCTCTGTAAGGAATTCCAATATCTACGGAATCCGATTCCAGTTTGATTCGTAGGGTGTTAGCTGTAGGCATAAAAAATTAGATATATTTAATCTTTGCGAAGAAATGATGATAAATATCATATCAGTAACAAACGGAAATGGTAAAATAGAAGTTTAAAAGCATGTGATGGCAAACGATGATGAGATGGTCACGAATATGGCTGAGGATGAGTGCGGGGTTTTGTGTGGTAATGAAGTAGTTCGCAATGGATTACTTGAAGTGATTTGTTTTTAGGCTTGTTCATGGGGCATATTTAACTGTCCCATTCCCATCCCACCCCATAGCAAATACGCCTGTTCCCTCCCATGCCATGTGATTCCCATTGGAATACAATTAAATAAAAATTGTTTCCGGTTTCGAGTCTACTGAATAGGACTACATGTACGAAGAGACATGCAAAACAATAAAATTTAGGGACTTTGTCAACTTCATATTCATAACTATTATACATGTGTCCATCAGCCCGTTCACGAAGTATATTGTTATTGCTGAATATATTTTTCTTTTTATAACTAACAAGAGAGCTATGCTTTAATATATGAACACGAAATCCATAACGAAATGTTTTACCAATATTTCTCCAAAAATCATACGGTTTTCGTGCCGCACGTGTCCCATGAGAAATACAAATGTTTGCTGTCCCATTCCATTCCCATGGACAGACCTGTTTATTTTAGAATCAAAAATTCTACCAAAATGAAGATGGAAGTGGGTCGGACACAAAATTGAAAATTTCAGTCTTACAAACCTTTTTAGTTTTGTTTCACTCAACATTTCTTTGAATGAGATGACTAACCTGAAGATATTATTTCTTCTTTGGGCATTTTTCCACATAATGGGCCGTATTTCTTCCCAGTATAATCATCGGTGAAAAGAAGATATTGCATTTTACAGTTGCTATTTTGATTCAGTAGATAAAAATCTCTTAACTTTGCTTTCACTCTGAATCCTCTTGGGGCATGGATCCTAAAGAAATATTTAAATAAGCGATCAGCGCCATAATATCTGTGTATAGTTATATTGCAGCTAAAATTTCACAAATGTCATTTGCCTAGCTCGGCGCTTTGGGAATCAATTAAAACATGAGAAAAATTTTTAGCCTTAGGTACTGTAAACCTGAATGCAATTGGGTCGGCAATCGAAGAGATGTGCCGAGGCAATTTATGTTTAGTAAGCATAGGTGGCATCTGTAAACGACATTTAATTAAATGTCAGAAGAGGAACCTCCTAAATATGACATATAAGAATACTATTGTCTTGGTGAGTGACTAAACGTTACGAACATGTCTTGGCTGCTATATAACGATAAAAAAATGATGACCCCACCAACACCATAAGGTTCAACAAACTGATTCCGTTACAGCTCACAATACCATCTGTGCCTATGCATCTGTTATCTATTTTCACGTCGCATTAAATTTGATAATTTCAAAACAAGTCGTAAATCGCGACTTAATTGGGCGATTTAATTAATGTTATATCACATCGTTGGCTCTGATGAATATGGAATTCTTGCAATTATTGTCACAACTTTATAAAAGATGTAAACATTGTTCTAGGTACTCACAACCAAGTGCATTGTGTTTGTTCAGGAAATTCACCGGGATAACCAGGACTTGTAAACTCTTTCGTTAGCGCATTTGCCATTAATTTCGTCAGTCCACATGCTAAATATAAAATTGTAAACATTTTTAACGCCAGAATATTATTTCAAATACTCAGCATTGCACCAGTTTGTCATATAAATACAGTAAGGCGGAGGAAGATGGACCCCCTTATTGAAAATTACCTATATTTCGAAAACATTCTGTCGAATATTCCCAAAACTCGTCTAGTACTCTCGTACATACTCAACTCTTTACCCATTCGGCGATGTTTGCCGGTCTCCAACCCTCGCAACGGCAGAGATTTTATTTTTGCTAAAAAAGTCATCGGGGAAAATTGGACTGTACTGAAAATTTGTTCTGCTTCACCTCAGAATATCAAAATAAACGATATATTTGAAATAATCTCAGTCCATTAAAAAATCACCCCGTGTCCATCTTACCCTATAGATTTTCGCAGACAATTATGGGGCATAACCCATAGAAGTATCGAAAAACACTCTCTAATAAAAGAGTAATATTTTATTCGCTTGCACTATTAAACTAATCTCAATCATAACAACAAAAGAACTCGTGGGATTGAGTGAAGGTCATGGTAGTAAAACTCAGCATGCTATGTGGAAGAACATATTACATTTGGCATATATACTACTTCTTTTTCGTCATTTATTTTAATCCATACTTACATGTTGTTTTCGGTTTTCCGCTTCGCTTTGGGGGAGCACCAAATGCTGTAGTAAACGTCAGAAACAAAATCAAATAGCAATATTTACCACGCATATTTTAAATCTTTTTATTTGCATCCTGCACGTAAATTGAGTTCAATTGACGTTTACAAATGTTGTATTCACGTGTGTTATATCGTTCTCGAGTGCTAATTTTTTCAATGTTTTACAAGAGTCAGGATGAGTCACCAAGCCATATGTCATGTGTATAATTTCAATTTTAGAACCCCATAATATTGCAATACAATAGTTTGGTCACTTATTTATACGAATATAATTGCCTATATTGTGCGCTGGGCTCACAATGACTCATTGTCAACGAATATCCATCGGAAAAAGCCAATTCTAATCCACTCTCGCTTTTCGTGCTTTTAAATGTGATGTCAGTCTTTGATTAAAAACACACCAACAGTCGGAAAAGATAAACTATGCTACAGCTATTGAACTATATAAAACATTTTCCTTATTATACTTTCACTCATTCCTCCCATCTGGGTTTATATTTGGCGCTCCCACATTATACATTACACTTTTTCAATACGTAAAAATATTATTAATATAATTCTACAAATTGAGTCTCCACAGCTCTCTCCAATAAACATTACCTATATTAACTACGTTGTTTGTTCTGTCATATTTCAATGTGATAATTATATCCTTGCAAGAACTATTTGATTGTCTATCTGGATTCGCCAGTTTTATGATAATAGCCCGGAGCAAAATATGGCGGCGTTAAGACTCAGAAGCCCACAAAACGCGTAGTGTAATTGTATTCGTCCGTTGTTGTTATCATCAACCGTAATCTGATTTTGATTTAACATTGCACCAAAAGTATATTTTCACTGAAATGTAACCGCACGTCTAGATGGCGCTGTAGCCAGATTGCTCCTCCGGCGCTAAGCGGTCGTAAATTGATCGTCTACTTGTCAGACATTCGATTGAATATCAACATTAATGTAATAATCATGTCCTTTATAATTTATATTTTTTTTTACGTTTCTAAAGTATATCAAGAATTCAACTGAAGAACGCCATACCAAGTCAACGAATGAACTTTCGTTCTATATTTTATAAATTCAATACACTGATGTAGACGTCCGTCTCTGAATAGGTAACTTAATCTATAATTTTCGGGAGGACCGAACTTCTAAGGTTTGTCACTACTACCGTGGACTTAGAGCGTGGGGATTAAAATTGTGACATTTTCTGTACGACGACAGCGCGGCCGGTTTCTGCAAATATGGCAATCGCATCCACTTTATTGTCCCAATTATCTGAATACATTTATTGTAAACAATGGTCATTTTCACGTCGACTAATTAAATAGGGATAAAACTTAATACACGTAATATTAAACTTTTAGCTAGAACAATATTTAGAGTTTCCAACCACTTTGTATTATGTTCGATAAATACGAGGGCTGTTTTTTTGCTGATGCTGTCGAGTCATTTACCACGTCTATCAGGCAGGAGCAATGTTTTTTTATCCAAATTTTAAGAAAGTAAGGTACCCTGCACTCACCCCAATGTACGCATATTCGTTTATTCGAGAAGCTGTTGAGCAAGAACCACTCGTTCACCCATAGCAAAAAATAGAACTTGTATTTTGAGTGGAGTACATGGTAGCCTATCTGCTTTTTTACTAATTCTTTATTGGTTTACATTTGATTGCTTGCATTTATGAAACAAAAGGTTGTGGTAATAAACCTAATTTTATTGTACAATTCATTCTCAACCGGATGTGTCTAAAAACACAAAGGTCGTAAAGGATAATAAATAATGAATAAAAAGTACACACCGTTAAATAAAATAATTCATCATTCTTTTGTCTTATGCTGTACCAGCGATTCAGAGTTTTAGATTAGAGAAGCATCGTGAACTGATATTAACCGAAAATTGATTGAGGTGCACGTAGGTGTTTTAATGCACGTGGTGTAGATACATAGTTTTTATTTCTGTGTCCAAAACAATCTTCACAAAAAGAATGAAACCCTACTTTACAAGAATTATCGAATAGGAAGCAAAATACTATATACCAAGTGTAAAACGTGTGCAAAGCATACAGAAACCTCGTCAACAAACGGCATTTTTACAAGGAGCAGTTGAATTAATCTATATCCAATTAGAATATGTCTGATTAGATTCTTCTTCGATGACGACCGATTTGCATAAATATTCCC